ATTACTATTATTACATAAAATTTGCGGTTATATTTTAGAATATTTATATAAAACGAATATTTAAATAATTTGTTTATATTGAATGGATGATTATTATTTTTAAATAAAATGTACGAACGAATCGTAATTTTTATTTGAAGATAAATGAAGGATCACGTAACGTAGAGGAAAAGTGAAATTAATCATCGATTAACGTGATCGAATTGTAAAAGAATGATTATTAAAAAAGTCAATAGATATTAAGAGAAAAAAAAAATATTTCATTACACGTATATACGTCACGCGTTCTCTGTTACTTTCTACGAATAATAATAATAATAATAATAATAATAATAATAATAATAATAATAATAATAATAATAATAATAATAATAATAATAATAATAATAATAATAATAATAATAATAATAATAATAATAATAATAATAATAATAATAATAATAATAATAATAATAATAATAATAATAATAATAATAATAATAATAATAATAATAATAATAATAATAATAATAATAATAATAATAATAATAATAATAATAATAATAATAATAATAATAATAATAATAATAATAATAATAATAATAATAATAATAATAATAATAATAATAATAATAATAATAATAATAATAATAATAATAATAATAATAATAATAATATTACGAATTAATACGATTTAAATAATAACATAGAATATCAATTTAATATACGATAATTAATAATACAGAGTAATTCGTCGAACGGTATGGATACGATACCATTCGTTCGTTTTCTTTTATAACGTTAAATTAATATTAATAAACAGAACGTGTGTGTATGTGTGTGTGTGTGTGTGTATAAAAAAGAGAGAAAAGTTGAATAATTAGAGATAATTATACTAAAACTTTGTCACGTTAGTTGTAAGAAGATAGACGTAAAGTGAATTTGGAAAGTGGGTCAAGGTGGACTTAGAACTAATTTCTCGAGGTAACGAGTTCCAAAGTGAGTTCTAATATAAGACAAGGACAGATCGTCGAGGAGACAGAAAGAGAGAGAGAGAGAGAGAGAGAGAGAGAGAGAGAGAGAGAGAGAGAGAGAGAGAGAGAGAGTGAAATAGAATGAATTGGAGAAAGGGCATGATGTAAAATTTAAAACGATGTCACGTAGAATAATAAATAAAAAAAAACAAAAAAAACCGGGGAAAGAAGAAAAGGGTTTACTTGAGGATATAGCAATGTGCTCTACACTTCTGTAAAAGATAATAACAATAATTATGATAAAAGTGGTAATGGCGATAGTTACTTCGAAGCGTTTGACCGTGGCACAGAGTAATAATAATTCCTCTTAAGAATATAATCGCTTAGTTACAAGTATGGGAATGGTAATAATACATAATAGCTCTGTCCCTAAGAACTCGACTTCCTTAGCTTCTATGATTAGATATAATGATTATGATTGTCAGACTAGTTACTAGAAGGTGCAAAAAGTAATTCGCACGATCCCGCCATCGGGTAAAAGAATAAAGATGATCTAAGAGAACTAATACCTAGATTAGGATTAGTCATTAATCTAATTTCGCGATGGTGCACGTGCGCGAGGTTCATCATAGAGCCAATGGTTTTTCAAATAATTCCAAGCATTCCTTCGGTTCTATCGGTATGAGATAAATAATGGGACACGTTTACCTTCGTCTATCGTTCCTTATACAAATAATATTGAACGAATGGAATGATCCTTTCGAATTCTATATCTGATAAATCATTTGACGAGCCAATTAAGACGAAAATATGTAATTAGGTAGATCGATAGATCGATGACGTTAGAAAATTTAAGCTTCCTTTTTTTTTTTCAATGTTCTTTATGTATTAATATACATAGATCTTATCCATCGAAAAAAATTCGAGCTTATAAACGTTTTGATGACAAGTGATTAGATAAGAGATAATATATGCAAGTATGAAAGAGAGAGAGAGAGAGAGAGAGAGAGAGAGAGAGAGAGGGCAGGGCAGGTTAAAGGTTAGGGAAAATGATTTTGAATATAAAGAAAAATGAGAAAAATGAGGAAAGAAAGAGTAAGATAGGCACGTATAGGAATATAATATGAACGTATTATAAATAATGAATGGTGTATAAAACATAATGAAATGATTTATCGCTTCTATTCCGCCAAGCTTAGCTGACAATGGATTCTTTTTGGCTGACAAAAGTGGCAATGGCAGCAGCAGGCTGTGGAACGGTTTGTGTCCCCTCTTCTTCTTTATTTCTCTCGTCCTCTCTCACTCTCTCTCTCTTTCTCTCTCTCTCTCTCTCTCTCTCTCTCTCTCTCTCTTTTTCTCTCACTCATTCTACCCTTCTCTCATTCACTCACTCACTCGGTCACACGCACGTTTGCACACGTATAGAGAAAACGTGGTGGCGGGTTAGAGAGCAATAAATCTATCCATATGGCGTGGTATGGCCATCGGCGTGGCGAGCGTTGACCAATGGTCAAGGTGGATGCCATTGGAATAGGGTACGTTACCTTGCCTCGAGTCACATTTATTAATAACATGATCTATTCTTTATTCTTTACTTTCTCTGAACTATTCCCTATTTTTTTTTATTATTTACACTCACACACATACACACACACACATACATATATATTATATATATATATATATATATGTATATATTCTATGAGTATTATACGTTTACGATCTTGATCGATATTTGAAAAATTTTATTCATTGTAAAAATTAATTTTCAAATGAATATATTTGAGAGTATTTTCTCTCTCCCTCTCTTTCTCTTCCTCTTACTCTTTTTCTCTTTCGGTAATAAGATTTTTTTGTTTATATATACAAAACGTAGTTTGTAGTATGTATAGCAAAATGGAGTATATGAAATAATACTCGGTTTATACACGACTGTTTCGTTTCAAAACAAAAACATGTATAACGTTATTCCAGTCGAAAGGTGAGCGCTATTTACGTTCGTTCTCATTCTAATACGAGCCGTCTTAGGTGCCACATGGTGAAAAGTGTCTCATACGTAACGTTCATATAATTTTTACTTTTTCTTATTTTTTATATAATTTAAGTTTCTCTTATAGATGTGTGTATGTGTGCGCGCGTGTGTGTGTGTGTGTGTGTGTATGTTTTTTTTATATATGTATATGTATATGTATATTTGTATTATTCTTGACTAATTTTTCTTAAAGATTTCTCATCTCTTTTATATCTTCGATTAATATTAGATTTAAGACATACATAAATCGTTTATATAATTATTTAACTGATATCAGAGAAGAACCATTTTAATCTTGTACAATCTTATTAAGAAATCTGTTCGTGTCCGAAATAAACGTTGGCTCGTAAAATTTTCCAAGGACTACGCAGCGGTGGAAACGAAATGTTTAAATATGTTTTAGACGATTTCAGATGTACGAGATGAATTATTAAATTGTACAGAGTCCAACTCTGAGTGAGCAACGTGACGTCCAGGAAAGAAGATCGAGATTCTCGATAGGATCGTGCGAGATAGAACGCGAAGAGACGTTGCATCCGTCTCAACGAACTCAGCGGATATTTTATGATCTTTGCGTGTGGGAAAAAGTTCGAAAGGAATGTCGCGGACGATCGTCAAGAATTTCTTAGTAATTCCTTAAGATTCGCTCAAGGCAACGCGAGGCAGAGAAAAATACGAAAAAATAAAGAAGAAGAAGAAGAAGAAGAAGAAGAAGAAGAAGAAGAAGAACAAGTAAGGAAGAAGAAGAAGAAAAAGGACGTCCCTTTTAATCGGCCGAAGAGAAAAGAGTTACGTTACGTTAACCACGAACCATCGGACGCGCATAAGGTTTATTAGAAGGAACCCCATGCAAATCACGAATGCACTTCGCCATGCAGACTTTTCTTCTTTACGAGTCGAGCCGTGCGTTTGTGTTTGTACAAGCCGCTATGATTTGAAGTGGCATTTATGAGCGTCGTTCTGTCTTCTCGTTCATGCATTACTCATGAGTGTCTAGCGTTGCTCTCGTATATACCATCTCTTGGTGCCATCATACTATGTACCATTAAACTATTAATATATATATATATATATATATATATATATATATATATGTAATATATATATGTAAACTGTAATATAATCATCGAAGCAAAAGTGTTTTCGATGAATCGACAGAAAATTATTTTCCATCCATCTCTATCTTTGTTACATTATCAATTGGATTTGAGCGAGAATCGTTATATAGAATTTATCGAGATCGTAAATCCATGTGGAAGAGCTACGTCGTTTTTTTTCCTCTTCCTTTTTTTATTTTGTATTCTTTTTTTGGTTTTTTTTTTGGGGGGTTTTTTTCTTTTTTTTTTTTTCTTTTTACACGCGATCAAATAATTTCAAATAGAATAGAGGATAAATTATTAATAGTCGAACGGTCGAATAACACGCATTATCGAATCGTTCTAAATTTTATTGTTCCTATTTGTTTCAGAGATTATCATCGATATCTATCGAAAATGAATATAGTTTCTGGCAAATGTGTATTTCTCCGAAAGATTTATTCTTTATTAAGAAGAAATCGTTCGTTTAATATATTATAAAATATCGCTCGCTAATAATCATTCGATAATAAAGTAAGAAGTGAAAGGAGAAGGGAAAGAAAGGCTATACGTACGATCGATTAAAAAGCAAAGGCCCACTTTACGATACATCCGCCATGGATTCCTTTCTTTCTTTGTGGCTCACCCGTTACATCTCGTCGTCCGAGCGGTTAACGGTAAACACGTTTATTGCAATAACTAGGAAAGGTATTTCTTGGTTTTGTACTTGAAGGGAATATGTACGAACTGTGAAGAAGAAAGACTCGCATAGACTCGTTACCGTTAACGACGCTTAGATCCAACGTTAATTATCTGTACTAATTATCGATCCGTTCTGATTGCATGGCGTGAGTGGATTTAACAATTTTCACTCTTTCTTCGATGAACAATTAATTGAAAGTAATGGAGAAGATAAAATGATAATTAACGAATACTTACAGGTCGGTCTTGTCCTATTGGGCCTTGTCAATGGAATCCATGGTCTTTGTGGCGGATGATTAGCGGTTACTGCAAGAGATAAAAAAGAAGAAAGAAAAAAATGAAAATCAATTTTTCTTACATGAAGATTGAACGAGAATGTCCCGTACAATTTTTTATTTTTTTTATTTTTTTTTATATACACGTAAATATCGGTATTTAAACATAGATCGAAGAAAAAGCATTAGATCATATAAATGAACAATTTCAAATTTGATAATATTAATTTGATCAAATTTTATCCATGTTAAAATATAAAAGACGCAAATTGTTTTCGTAGTTGAACTTTAACAATTCTTGTCCCATTTGTCGAAGTAAAGGTTTTGCCTTTTGAAAGTAGAAGAATACATCTTCCAGGCCATTTACGATCTTTACTACACCGAATATAAGCTTCCAGGACTAAGAACGTTGTTAGAGGAGGAAGTGGAAGAAGGAAGAAGAACGAAGAACAAGAACAAGAAGAAGAAGAAGAAGAAGAAGGAGAGAGAGATAGAGAAGGGAACAAGAAGGAGAAGGTAGAAAGATGTAGCGCGAAGGGTTGTTGAGAAAGGGTGCGAGAAATATGAAGAGTCGACCGGCGAGGATAAGGGAGAAGGGTGTTAACGACTTCCCGGAAATGGCGGTAACAACCCCGAAACCCTGAGACGTGACTCAAGTCTGACACAAATGGCGAGACATTAGACAAGTGCCAGGAGTAAAGTAGACGTCGGGGCGCGAAGGTAATCAGAATTAACAATTCAAAGCCTTATATACCGACACGACTCCCTTCGTCTCTCCTTCATCGTTCCTACTACACTTTCACCTCCTCTTCTCCTCCTCCTTCTTCTTCTCTTACTTCTCTTTTTACTACCACTACTCTTCGCTTTTAAGCCGACAACTAGTCCAAGAGGATGGTTTAGAGATGAGACATGCGGATTTCTAGTGGAAAACTCATCCCAAGAGTACTTCATTTCGGAGTGCCTACAATCGAGATAGTTGACAGAGTTCGAGGGATAATCTTCCGTTTGGAGGGAGGGAAAGTAATGGAACGGAGGTTTGGCTTTAACTAGAGACTTCTCTCTTTCTCTTTCTCTTTCTGTTCTATTACATTGACAGAAGACTGTTAATTCGTTAGCGTAGCTTTTCGACGCATTTCATTTGCTAAATTTCATGGGGAGGGGGTGGGGGAGGGACCAAACGTTAGCTCTCGAAATACGCGCTTTCAAGCATCTATATCTCTTTCTTCCTTTTCGTTTGTTAGCGAAAATAGTCCTTTCTCTCTCTTTCTTTCTTTCTCTTTCTCTTTCTAAGCTAGTTCTAGCTTTCGTAGATATTTGGATTAGAATTACCTTGGCTTCGGATTTCATTTTCCATTTTCGAGAAATTCCGGCTACGTCTAACGATCTTCTGATGGGCTTGATATTTCTCGTAGAGTAGATTGAACGATCACGAGATAAATTCTCGCTCTCTCTCTCTCTCCCTCTCTCTCTCTCTCTCTCTCTCTTTCTATCTCTCCTTCTCTCTTCTTCACTCTCTGAGAAACGCTTGATCGATATTCGCAAGTTCACAAACTAAAGACGATAACTATAAGTATCTTAATTATAAAGCGATTGTTAGTACGTAAGGTGTAAGAGCGTTACCGTGTTAAGAAAGTTGGGTGAGATAAATTTTCGATTTCGTTATTGCTACTTCATACGATTATCATGCGAGAACGAAAGTAATGAACTTGTTATTTGAAAGTAAAGTGAAATAAATTTATATCTAAATAATTAATAATTCGAAAGAGTAAATTGCGAGATAATTTATCATTAATGATGTATTTAAGATGAGAATAATTATATTGTTCTTAATTATTAAAGAATATTATATAGATATATTCATAGTCTGAACGATCTTGTCTCTTCTATGATAGAGTACTGGCACGTTGTTGAATTATCATCGTTGAAGAAAAATGATCGATAGAAATGTTTTAAAAATAATTGTCTTGTAGCTCGTAAAGCTGGCTCGTAGGTTCGTTCGTTTGTTCGTTCTTGAAGTCTCTCCATATACATTGGAAACAAGTATAATGACTCGGCAATGATACATGCTCGTGGTAATAAGAATGAGATGGTGAAGTAAGGGAGGTACGATGGAGACAAGATATAGTCAGAGTTAATATTATCCTAAGAAGACGAGCCTAATCAGCGATACTGACGTTGCAGCGTTGCAGTGACATCGCAGAAGAGTTGAAGGAGAGAGAGAGAGAGAGAGAGAGAGAGAGAGAGAGAGAAAGAGAGTGAGTGAGATATATAGATAAATCGAAAGAAGGACGGTTAATATTGCTGACTAGATTATTATAATTGCAAAACGATAGTGAACAACGAGTCTCCAAGATGCTTTCGACTTATGAGAGCGCGCAAGCATCACGAGAACGCTCATTAAACTAGTTCATTACACCTGCTTCTCTTAATGGCTCTCACTTACCAGATAGAGATGGGAATAGAGATGGAGATAAAGAGAGAGAAAAAAGAGAAAGAGAGAGAAAGAGAGAGAGTTCAAAGTCCAGAGAGAACTAGATGAGAACTTTTGGCATGATAATTAAACGGTTTAACGAATGTAAATTACGATTTAGTTTTTAACCACTATATGTAATTATATATATATATATATATATATATATATATATATAATTAAATATTTTGTAATATAATATATTACGTAAATTTATTACTTAAGATTGTAAGATTGATTCTACAAGAACACACGGTATTAATTTTAATTTGATTGTCAACGACAAGAAAATTTTGAATTTAAAGAATTTCTCTCTCTCTCTCTTTCTCTTTCTGATGTACTGTTAGTAAAAGTATTTAATCAATAGAAAGAAAAAGATTGGACACAAGAGAGAGAGAGAGAGAGAGAGAGAGAGAGAGAGAACAGTCGTAAAGTTCGATGGAAATTGATCCGTACTATCCCAAGTACCTCTAGTAAAAAAGATGGAGATAGAGAGAGATAAAGTGAGAGAGAGGAGAGAGAGAGAGAGAGACGTACATATACTCTTGTAGAATTGAAACGGTAAGAATTTTATTTCACTTCGCGGGCTTGTCTCCCGAGGGAAACTAGAGATAACGCCCTTGGGAGCATCCTCGAGACAATAGAGACGACAGGAAAGCGTGTAGCTAGCACAGAAAACAGTATTTCATCTGTGGCATAGCGGAGATTTATTTTCACGTCGGAAACCTGATTTCAATGAATATAAATGTAACTTTAGGTGAATTACTTTGAATTTGAAATTCTCTCTCTCTCTCTCTCTCTCTCTTTCTCTTCCTCTCTCTTTTTATTTCTTCTAGCGTCTTTTTCTACACACCTACAGGTAATTTTCTACGAAGATTTTTCATTGGAGGTTAATGCGATTTTAACGCGTCGTCTTATGTTGGATATTTCTATGGGAAAAAAAAAAAAAGAAAAAAAAAAGAGGAAAAAAAAGAAAGAAAGAAAAAAGAATATAACAGGGAGAAATGTATCAATCGAAAGCGCTTTTCATTACGCTGTTGGATTAAGTGCAATTTGTGCAACGAGAAGAACGCGAGAGTAACTTTTAAAGACTAAAGAGGAGATGTTATTTCAAATTCTCCAAGATCTTGTAAAGCCAATTAAGATCTTTACCGCGGAAAGATCTTTAACGATATCCAACATGCAATCAATGCTTGGAATGAGCGAAGGGAAGTGACGTTCCCTGTAACTCTTTTCTCTCTCTCTCTCTCTCTCTCTCTCTCTTTCTCCAATGCATAGGGCGGATCTTTTATTTTCCTTATCGAGTGTTGATCGAGACAAGTATTTCCTCTTCGAGAGAAATTCCTATCTTCCTTATGTTTAAGATAAAATCAACAAAAGAGGAGAACGATCGTTTTTAGCTGGTCCAATGTATCGTAAGAATTTTACGAAGAAAATATTTCCGATAATTTCTTTTTCTTTTCTTTTTATTTCTTTCATTCTTTCTTACTTTTTCTTTTTTTTTTTCTTCTTCTTTATAAACCGCGGGTTAATTAAAATTGACGTTGATGGAAAACCGATGTCACGAGAAAACGTCAAATAAAAGGAAAAAGAAAAGAAAAGAAAAGAAAAAAAAAGAAAAAAAAAGAAGATATAATACAGATACACAGCTGGTATAAGACGTTTCCAACGGAAATGGAATGAATCATTACAAAGATTTCGAAACTTAATCACCATTATCATCGTCGTCATCTACGAGAGGTTATGGATTAAAGGAATCCGACAAGGAGAGAGAGAGAGAGAGAAAGAGAGAGATACACGCAAAGATGCACAGGAACGTGTCATCGTTTCGACCGATAGCATTGCCAAGTTTAATGGCAGACTAGCCAGAGTTAGGATTGAAATCAATAATTACGATAACAGAGTTGCGGTAACTGTAGCGTCACACGTTTCGGGGAACGTGATTTAGAGGCTGACAATGCCAATGCCCGTTGACCCCTTTTCCGAACGTAACTACCCTGCGGCTTATTAAACTGTGACCATACTAACAAGAGAGACAATGACAGAAACAGAGAGAGAAAAGAGAGAGAGAGAGAGAGAGAGAGAAAGAGAAAGAGAAACGAAAGCCAAAGATCGATGGAAACGCAAATTTACAACGAAAGCGAAAAATATTGAATGACTGTTGTAATAAAATCAACGTGTTTCAGTTATGACCATTTAACGTTAACATTCTCAAAATTAACACGCTTTACCAATGCCATGAGAATTACTATGTCAAATTGCTACGATGACAAATCGATTTGAACATTTGAAATACCATACTTTTAATATCTAAAAGGAAAAAAAAAACATAAAAAGAAAAAAAGAAGAAAGAAAATAAACAATACACTTCCTATAGACGTTCTCGTCGAATTTTTGTTTGCTTGTTTCCTTTTTTCGTTTGTTTTTTCTACGCAATAAACGCATAAACACACTTGAGACCATTTTACATGTGGGCAAAGAGAAATAAGTTATAAAGTTTTTTCATGGTCTCGTCGAGATTACTTTGCGAGACAACTCAGATGTAAAAAAAAAAAAAAATG